GACTGTGGTGAGCTGGAGAGTCCATGTCCACTTGGAGAGCATGGAGTTGATCTGGATGGGATTGTGGTGAGCTGGAGAGTCCATGTCCACTTGGAGAGCGTGGAGTTGATCTGGATGGGACTGTGGTGAGCTGGAGAGTCCATGTCCACTTGGAGAGCATGGAGTTGATCTGGATGGGACTGTGGTGAGCTGGAGAGTCCATGTCCACTTGGAGAGCATGGAGTTGATCTGGATGGGACTGTGGTGAGCTGGAGAGTCCATGTCCACTTGGAGAGCATGGAGTTGATCTGGATGGGACTGTGGTGAGCTGGAGAGTCCATGTCCACTTGGAGAGCATGGAGTTGATCTGGATGGGACTGTGGTGAGCTGGAGAGTCCATGTCCACTTGGAGAGCATGGAGTTGATCTGGATGGGATTGTGGTGAGCTGGAGAGTCCATGTCCACTTGGAGAGCGTGGAGTTGATCTGGATGGGACTGTGGCGAGCTGGAGAGCCCAAGGGGAACAGCTGGGCTCCTGCTGTCACCAGGACAAGCTGGCCTGGTATTGCTAGATCTTCCAGTTTTTCAAGAAAAGCATGAATCTTGGCTTTTTATAAGAAAACTCCCAACTTCTAAATGTTGGTAAATGATTCAAAAACATAAAAACACCCTGGGGCCAAAGCACATAGGCCAAATTCAACATAGAGTGAGCCAGCTGCAGCTGGTGGCCTCCACCTTGAATGGTTACCTTCTTAGAAGGTACAACTGGGGAGAGAGCCAGTGGGTGAGGCCTGGAGGTTAAAATACACTGGTGAAAATTCACTTTCCTGCTAATTAATGTTTCCTACACACACATACTTACACATTCACCCGGCCACACATGTAAGTCACCTCATCATATAAATTTGGTAAACTCAGAAGTAAAAATAAATAAACGTAATTTTAAAGTGGCAATTCACCCAACTTCACGTATGCTCGGCCACACTGAAAATTCAGTTAAAAAGCTGTGTCCCTTCCCCTTTGAGTTTCTTTGGCTGCCAGGCCATTTTCAGAGGAGCTACTCACAGGACAATTGCTCTGTGAAAATGCTCAGAGAATTTCAGATTTGATTTCTGGGTCTTCTCCTTAACCTGACCCTCCTTATTCCTGAGCTCAGCATCAAAATGAACTGTTTCTCTTTTTCCCATAGGGTTGGTTCATGATGAACCTTTCACAGGATTCTTTGTCCCTTGCCAAGGAATTTGGGGTACACAACATGCCCTGTACTTCAGCTGAGTAGGAAAAAAAGAGAGAAAGAAAGCCAGAGACCACATGGAACTGAAACAAGCTCCCAGACTCTGCCAGTTGGTTTTGATTGTTTACAAAGGAAAAGCTAAACAAAAAAGGAGGTGGAATTTATTTCAGTAAACAGCAGTCTCCACCAGGACAGGCTGCCTCAGCTTTGCTGCTGTTAGGATCAGAAAACATTTGCGAACAACCACTTGAATAAAGAAAACATGTTCAAACAACAGAACTGTGGGTTTCCTGAGGCTCTGAGGGTTTGGGTATGTGGGCATGTGTGTGTGTGTGTGTGTGTGTGTGTGTGTGTGTGTTGGAGGAAGGATACACTTGCATACATAATCAATTGTACTTTTAAAAGTATTCGATATCTCAAGAGAGGACAATAAGAAGTTTTTGCATAAAATGCATTTAAGCACTGAGAAATCCAACACCTTATCTTGACAAACATTCCTTAACCATCAAATGATGGAAACAAGTCCCAGAAGGCTGACTAAGTATTTTAAGGACTGGATTCAACCTCATTCCCTCTCCTCTGCTCCTTTCTGTCTCATGTTCTTTCTCCTTTATACCGCCTCTTACAGCATAGAAACATCTTAAGGAAAGGTTCATGAAGTCAATTCCAGTAACAGTAAGACAAACATGGGAAATGACATGGTGAAACTCAAGGTGAGAAGTTAAACTCTACAGCCACAAAATTGGATGGGTATCCAAATGCAGATCTAAGCTGAATATGCATTGTCCAGAGGCAGTGTAAACTGTGAGGATGGCAGTGAGCCTAATCATGAGCATTCATCGTGAGCTCTCTGCCTGGAGTTCTTCCTGTCCCCCTCCTTATTCCATCTCGATTATTCTTTCTGCAGGAAAGGTGGTCCCATCATGACTTTGGGAAAAAGAGAGGGTCTAGAGGCCTAAATACATTTTTGTTCAAGGCTCTGCAGTTCAATGTAGACATGGTGGACTGGCACCCAGATACACTGGACTCCAAACCCTGAGCTGTCCATTATACCAATGGGCAGACATCAGAGGAAGCAATTTATGCCATGTTTTCCTGAAAATAAGACCTAACTGCGAAATAATCAGTCTTGAAGCCAGAAGATTGCTTCCCAGGCAGTCTATCCTTGCCTTTCCCATCATCACTGTCCACCTTCTTGGTGGCTACTCTGGAAGATACTGTGGTATACAAGACTTGGTTGTGTTTAAAGGAAATGCTCGTTCCGGTCTGCTTTATGTCTATGATGTATCAGTCCCTGTGGCCAGCTGCTGATGAAAAAGACCTCATCTGGGCCTCTAAATTGGGGTGGGGCAGCTGAGGGAAGTGTCATCATCTGGGTCTTAGGAGGGCACATGGGGCCTGCCACACTCATGAGAGAGCTCCACAAGGGCATGTGGAATTCATGGCAATTGAGATGGCTTTGTAAAAGGGACAGACTTCTCCACAGGCAGAAGAAGAAAATGCTGTCCTAGACCCAGCTGAAGAAATGGAGAGCAGTAGAGGGTGCTGAGGGAAAGGCGGGTGCAGGGACGTGTCTTGAGAAGCAGAAGGAGAGAGACTTAGAAAATGTGAGGTCCTTGAGCTGCAGGCTGAGTGCTTTGAACTTTCCTTCATCAGTTATGAGAGTGAGGCAGAGCAGATTAAATTTAACCCCTTAACAGTTTGCCTTGACCAGCACTCAGGGAGCACTTTTGTATATACAATGAGTAACCCAAGGGTGGCTAGAGCAAGTATCATTTCATTCAGTTGATTCTTTGTTGAATAAATTTGATAAAATTGTCATTTTTATAATTAAATAAATACAAATGAATAATTTTAAAAATTGCACTTTTTGGTTATCTCATATATAAATAATTGGAGTGGAAACTGGTTAAGACGCAGGCTGGTAGAAATGATCTGCATGATACAAAGGTGAGCCAGGGAAGGATGTGGGTGACCAGAGGACAGTCCTTCAAAGCAGGCCAGTGTTAGGACTGCAGCTCTGCCACCCCGAGCTGTGTGACCCTAGGAAGCACTGGCCTCTTGTTCCTGACTTCCTTATTTGTAAATGAGAGTGATAATAGTAATAATCTGGTATACAAGATTGTTGTGAAGGTTTAAAAATTTCTGCAAAGCACCTTTGAAAGTGTCTTACACATGTGAACCATTATTCATGCGGTGGGTCCCAATTTGCATAATGTTGGGTTTGTCAGTGGTTTGGGCTAATCAAGGCCAAGGACTTCTCTCCTTTAAAGCTTTCCCCCTGGCTATGCTACACAGAGAAGTAGTGGCAGAATGCATAGGAACATTAGTTTTAGTGACTGGCAATCTCAGTTTCTGATTCTGACTCCACTCGTGGTCAGCAGAGCCCATTATGAATGACTGTGGCCAAATATGACCCCTCTCTAAGATCTGACCCTTTTCCACAATGCAGCTGAATGAGCTGATAAGCAGTAAATATTTGGGTTCATCTCTTTTTTCTTAGGTCTGCAATTGACTATTTCTGGAATCTCACTTAAGTAATCCAGGGCTCAGGTTTTTCATTAGAAAAATAGGAATAATAATTTTGACTGGACACTTTATGAGATTACTCTGAAGCTCAAATAGCAGTTGGGATAACGTAGAGTAATGCTTTGTAACTGGAGTCACTTTGCAAACATGTTGGATCATTCTTATGAGACCGGAAAGTGGTTCCTCTGAAATTCTGAGTCCCTGAGGCTAAAAGGAGCCAATATTTAGAGTGGCCACATGAGCTCCAAGGAAGAATAACAATGAAACTTTCATCTCCCAGCCCAATAATCGTGAATAACGATTTACCTTTATGAGCCTATTCATTGCTACCCTGTGAAAACAGAGCTAAATGCTATAAAACAAGGCCAATTAAATCTACACAGGCCTGCTTCCTGCCCCACATCAATTGCACCTTTTTCTCTTTCTTTCCCATGTAATAGCCTCCCCTTTCCCTTTCTTCACAGCGAAGTCTTAAATCTGTGAAGATCATAAAACATAGTACATATTGGGTAAAGTCGCCCCGGTATGTGCACACACACACACACACACACACACACACACACACACACAGCATGCCAGCCTACTTCTCCCACCCTAAAGTAGTATTTACAGGTGGAGTGGCACTGGTGGGACCACTGAGCAATGCTGGTGACATGACCATGCGTTTTTCCTGACTCTGTCCCTCGTGGAGACACACAGGTTCCGAGTGGATGTCCTAAACCCACGTGTCCTGTAGTTTAAGCAAAGTCAGGGTGCTTGTTCCCAGGACCTGTGAGAGTTCGTGGCTGGGGGACTTCCCTTGTGTTTCTTTTCCTGTTGTGGAGAGGAAGAAATATCCCCTACAGACCACCTGTGAATGTTTAATGTCCTGATGTGGAAATTATGTGTTTCTGTTTTTATTTTCACTTTGCTGTTTTGGAAACAGTACAGAAGACAAAGACTTGAGCCACAGTAGAAATGTGTACTGTAAAGTGTGGCCAGTGCAACTGAGCAACTGAGCACCTAGTTTCATTTAGTTTTACCTCATCTGAATCTGGATAGCCACGGGTGGCTGGCGGCTGCTGTGTTGGACAACACAGTTCTAAAATGAAGTCTCTTCATGTCTTGGAATCTGAGATCACTGGTCTGGAGCACATTCATGATCCTGCCACATCACAGGTTTTTTTTCAGATTTTCAGAATGAGAGAAGAACCAGGAAAGCCTGGTCCAGAAACTGTCTTAGTCATTTTCCTCATTACTGGAACAAAATACCAAACACTTAAGGAAGGAACAATTTATTTTGACATACGGTGCAGTTCGAAGTTGGCTGGCTCCAAGGCAGGATGGCGTGGCAGAGGTGCGTGGTGGAGGTGAGCAGCTTACCTCACGGAATCTAGGAATTAAAAAGAGTGAAGGGAGTAGAAAGGAAAGAGATGCAGGCCACATCCTAAAACTCACTTCCTCTGACCAGGCTCTGCCTTCCAACGTCACCTTTAGCTATCAACTCATGGGTAGACTAGCTCATCTATACCAATCCACTGATGAGGATAGGGCCCCATGATCCAAGCACCTCCCAAAGCCCTGCCCATGAGTGCATGGCATCTGGGGTGGCATCTGGATAGAAATCATAACACAAACATAACATAAACTTTGCATTTAATAAGGATGCTGAAAAGGTTAGTGGGTGCCAAAAATGTGAATCTTACCACAGTCCAAGCAAAATGCATGTTAAAAGTCTATGACTGGATTTTTCTCCGGAACTGATTCCTTATGATTGTTTAACTCATCCCAGTTTAACTTGCCTGCTGAAAATGACCTCAGGTAAAACAAAGGCTAAAGAATGTCCAGCTAGTCCAGCACTGTAGGTACCAAGATCCCTATTCCTCTCGGCTCTGCTTACCCTGACATTCTCTCCAACTAGGGGGGTAGCCAAATGCACAGCAAAATGATTTGCATCTGATATAGCCACAGATCTTTAGGAGCTGGACAAAAACATCTCTCCTTCAGGAGAACTTGAGCATCCTGTTCTGATTAATTTGGACTTAACTCATCCGGGAATACAGCCTGACCTGCAAGAAGTTTGAATTCATGCATCTTGTGGTCTCTTTCCCTAGAAACAGGAGTATGGGCTTGGACAACAGATAGACAAAGGCCCCTGAAGATGAGCAAGAGGGCAAGGATGGCAGTGCTAGGTCTGCAACCAAGACTTTACAAGTCCTGTGCATGTGCCTGGTCTGCCGGGGTGGATCGCCTTCCTGGGAAATAGGGGTTTCATGTATTGTGTGAATGTCAAACTAATTGAATTCAAGATAAAGATTAACTTTCTTCACTCACAGACTGCTCCCCTCTGATATCCTCTATGTTTGTAAGGGGCACTGCCACCTAAACAGACATCAGGAGATGCTGGCTCAGAAGACAGGAACTGCAGCCTCTACAAACCCCTTGGCTGTTGTCAACTTGCCTTGCAAACTCAGAAGCTTAGCACATTTTGTCTTCCTGTGACTCCCACTCATTGACCTTGTCAATAATTAAGACTTGGTTTTCTATGGCCCTAGGGTTGTTTATTCAAGAATCTCCTAAGAAGGTCATTTCTTTCTTAGAGCAAAGCCCACAGATGGCAGGGAACATCTTCTGTCCATAATAGCATTTTCCTAGTACAAAATAAGCATGACAAAGTGAAGCTCAGAGATCTTGACCTCGGTATCACTTCACTCCAGCACTACCACACAAGCTGTGATCCTCTATACTACTCTTCTTCACTAGGCTGCAAAGTATTGACTCATCTTTGAGTTAATATTGGCTCCAAGTTCACAGCTTGATATGAAAAAGAGAAAGTGGGTCTGAAAGAGGACATGAACTAGTAAATGAAGAATAAAAAACAGAGAAACTGATGAGGCATGCAGTGCACTGGGCAGCCCTTGCCAGCTCTAGGTATGCTCCTCTAGCTGAAGTCTAACCACATATACAGTCCCAGTCCAGGTAAGATGCAGGAAGAAAACTTCAGGAAGAGCTAATAGTGGAAATTTCTCACCACCCTGTAATTTTCTCTCAATCTCTCTCTTTCTCTCTCTCTCCTTCTTTTCAGTCTTCTCCTTCCACTATTGCATGATTACAGTAATGACTTCAAACACCAAGGTTTGCTATTCAGGTCACTGTGAAAATGTGTTTTTCCCATCAGTTCCAATGAAATAGTTTCCACTGTCTGTTTCCCTTGCAGATAGCCATCAAAATCCGGGTGCAACAATAAAAAAGAAAGCCCAAACTCTAGTCCTACATAGAATCTAAAATTTGTCCTTGGAAAGAGACACCCAAGGGAATATAATCACGAATGCTCTTGACTTGGCCCGGCGCACTGTTGTTGAATAGAGGGTGTGTAGAGTGATCTGTTTCTGGAAGTTGACTTCCGTGTTCTTCCCTCTCAGTCTTCCCAGAAGGCCAAAATAAGAGGCTTTTGAAGAATATTACTCCCTTAAGGTCTCTCGTGGGATCTCTGGGGTAATCGTTTCTCTTTAAATTTCAGTAGGCTTTCACTGCATGCTCTGGCTGGAGCTCCTCAGCTTTACCTGCACTGTTGCCTGAGCCCTGCATTCTCTCAGATTAGCTGACCTTTGCGTCACCAGGTTAAGACCTGGCCCAGTCACTTTGCAATTACATGACTGTGGATAGCTCTGTTACCTCTTGTCTATCTATAAAACAAGAATACTAAAACTCCGGGACACAGGGCACTTGGAAAATTATGCAGTGTAATAGACTTTCAATGGAAACTGGTCCTCAATGGAACTTGGTCCTCAGGACATGTATCATACACCTTTCTTGTCAATCTCAGCCTTCTCCAAATTCCTGTTGTATAGAACCAAACTAACACAGCTTTATAGCCAGAAAGAGCTTTGGAGGTTGTCAACTGAAAAGTTTCATTTCAAATACATAGTATATGGATGTGTATACACATGAACACATGTACACTATCTCTCTTCACACAAAAATACACAGCATTTGCACACTGTGAATACCACACTTGTACACTGCACACATACCACACTACATGCATGCATCACATATGATGCATCACAGACACACTCTCCCATTCACACAAGGAGCAAATACAAGCACACATGCACATACATAGCTGGGCATTTGGGCATCTGCCATTTTCACATTCCAAGGATGGCTTGTTCCTATTGCCCTTTGCTTGTGATTTGGCCTCTGTAACTAGGAAAACATCTCTGGTACTCAGCCTAAAGTGATTATGAGGAAATGCTGTAGGAAACATAAAAAAAGAATGTGTTGTTCTCCCAGGCCTTTTGATCTTTGATGAACTTAGTTCCTATTTCCCATGCCCTTGATGGTTATAAGTAACAAAACCAAGTGTTCACTGTGATTCAGACACCATGTTAGTTTTTTGTTGAATTTAAACTTTACAACATGTTTTGCACCCGCAGTTATTAGCTATTAAGCAGGCAGTGTGCAGGGGAATAATCACCCCCAGATCTCCTCTGCTACCTGAGATCCACCCAAAGGCTGTGCTCCTCTCTAGCTTTGCTCACAAGTGACTACACCAGCAATTGCACCTCAAGCTGGGAGTGACCTGTGATTAATTGGCAATGCAACACGGTCAGCTTTGCTGTGCTTCATGCATATGTGTTCCAAAAATACCCAAGGGTCAAAGCATCCAGGGATTGAGGCCACATGTTTACCATCTCATCTTGTGATAAACACAGCTAAATGTCTGTTGTGCTGACACTAGATAACCTCCCAAAGGTTCATCTTTATTCCGAGCCCTTGAGATGTTTGATGTTCTTGGTTCCACACTAGTGTCAGCAATACAGTTTTTATAAACTCAAAATGCAACGTGATTTCTGCAGAGACCACACCAGCTGCTCTCTGCCAGCCTATGATTGGCCATTTGATGCATAGAATTCAATCCAATAATCCATTTGCAATGTCACATGCAACCAGAGTAGAAGATAGCCATCCTAGGCCCAGAGGTTTATGGAGACACTGGGTTCCAAGAAGCCAAGCAACTAGAATTCCAGTGATACTATGTAGAAAGAAGGCTGCCTTCTTTGAGATAACTTAGCCAAGTAGATGGTAATTTTTTAAACAGCTCTTAATGCTTAAAATATCATAAACAAGGCATATGCATTTGTAAGACACTAAAGATCCTGAAGTTTCAAGTCAATCAAGGCACTGAAAGGAGCAGTCCTGGAAAGAATAAGCAACATAATTTTTTAGCATTTTCTATTCCTTGTTCCAGCTCAATGCTAGTTTAGATAACCTATGACTACCTCCCTCCCTTTGATCCATAATGTTGGCCGTTTCCAATGCACTTTCATTTTAATTGCTGTGTTGGCTTTTCACCATGACCTTGAGAGATGATCATTTTATTTGCCAGATACAGAAATTACGAATCAGACAGGACAAGTAACTTACCAAATATCACACAACCTAAGGTGGCACAGGCAGAATAACAGAGTTGTTGAATGTTTATGCCCCTGCATGGAGCTGCCTCCAGTCAGCCTGGCTTTATCTCCAGTCTGACTATATGCTTTCTGGGTTGACCTGAGGAATCCCTTTTAAGCAGGTACTCTAGAATTTGACACATGCTCTATGAGTGTTGTCCATTGATAAGTCTCAGATAGATGCATTCTCTCATGGTGGCCTTCCTCCAAGTTCCATCTGAGAAGAAGTTTGCCTTTTACATGCTCCACAGTATATAACAAGTCTATTTAATAATGCTGGGTTTATAACACACACTTTCTTCTTTGCTAAGCTCTAGACTCCATAAAGGCAGGGGCCACATTCAACTAGTACAATTCTCAGTATATAGAATGAAAGAGGCGATCATTCCCTTCCTCCTGAAAGTGCAGATAGGCTCAGAATGTCAGCCCAAAAGGAAACTGGCCAGAGGTAGCTAGAAGGAAGAAGTACAGAAATACACTCAACAAAAGATAAACATCAAGTCAAATTATGTTAGCTATTTGCCAGGTCTGTACTGGAGTTGGAAACCAGGGGCTGGACCCCAGGTGAGGGGCCTGGAGCTGCCATGTGCTGCAGGATGAGTCCCCCCAAGCCCCCATCCCAGGGCAGAGGGTGACGTCTCAGCAGCTGGTCCAAGAGAACAAGGCTCAAAGCTCCCTTTGGGGCTTTAGGCACAACCAAAGACTTGGTACTCTGACAAATGCTTTGTTTCTTCTGTTGCATCACGCAGCAGGGGAGAAGGAGCAATCATGAGATTCCCTCCCGACAGACTTTCAAGGGCAGAGATAAGTTAGAGGAAGGTATTCTGCTAGCTACATGGGGAAAAGCCACACTAGAATCAGCAAAAACAGCTAAAATGCCAATAGAAAAGAAGGAAGTAATGGCCATACAAATTAAAAACTGGAATGAAATGAGCAAAACTGAAATATATTATGAAAGTTTTCTTTGTTGGACTTGATAAACAACAGGAACTCTCTGCAAAACTGTTCTTGCCTGACTTGCTTTCTGATATTCAATACTTTTGTATCTTTAACAGTATGTCAGCCCCACAAAAGGCCTGCAAGTTAGAGGGATTAAAAGCAAGCTCAAGTTGTCTGCCCCAGTTACAGGGCTTAGGGTCTCTGGCCTGGGACTGGGTTGCTGGTCTCTGAGTTTTCCTAAGTATCAAGCCATGGTCCGGGTCAGGGTTTTCTTAAGAAATGGACTCACCTCCCTTTCCCCAGCATCACATAGCCTTTGATCTTGTTTATATATTCATTCAACAAACATTTATAGTCATGCATCTTCCAGAAGAGAGGCCCAGATATTCCCATTAGCTCTGGGAGTCTGATAAGAGCACTAACAGAATGCAATGCGTCACACCAGGCTCTGCTCACTGCCAGGCAGACAGTTTGTCATCTTTACTGGTTTTCCTGATTACTGAAGAAATTCCACAGTCATTGTAAAATAGCCAAGTAGAGATACTGAAAAGATTAAATGTGACGTAGAATAATAGAGTAAAATAGGGAACCCATGATAGTGGTCAGGCACTGGGGAAGACATCTTTACATGCAACTTCCCACTCACTGTTCACAGTGGTCTGCAGGAAGTACTGTTTCCGTCTTTATCCTAAGCTGGGGAAACTGAGTCACCCAGCAAGTACCTCTGCCAAGTGCACAGAGTAGAAAGTGGCAGGGGCAGAATTCGGGCCAGGCCCTGGTCCCAGAGCCCACACTCTTCACCACCGCGTGTCAGGCTGCCTTCCTGCACCAAACCTATTTAATGGCATCTGTTTCTTGAAGGAAACCAACCCTCTTTCTATCCCCTGACATGTGTCTTGCATTTTGTGAACTAGAGAAAAAGGGACAATCCAAAATTCATTTCTAAAGAATGGTCAGTTGGTCAAGCAAGCTTAAGCAGATCCTTTCCTGTCACAGCCGGAAACTCTGCCACCTGTGTGGACAGAGCATGATGGAAGTCAGGACGAGAGCGGGCTCTAGAGTGAGGTCTCTTTCCTGGCTGCAGCTGAAGTTGGTGAGCGGTCCTGGGCACGTGCCCTCGCTCTGCCTCTCAGCGTCTATCAGCACAGTCCAGGGCCCGGGCGGTCTCAGAGGACTTCATAGCTGTGACATGTCTGTCGCCAGGGACATCTTGCTATGTGGATGCGACTATTTTAGAAGACCATTTGCTAAAAATGAAGCCTCTGTATTCACAGTAGTATTCAAAATAAGAGAATTCTTGGGAAAACAGAGCACAGTTGTTAGTCTCCTATGGGTAATGTAGTAAATTATTGCAAATTTGGAGGATTAGAACAACAGAAATCAATCCTCTGTTTCAGGGCCAAAGTTTGAAATCAAGAAACAGGTGGGGCTCAGCTTCCTCCGGGTGCTTGTGAGGAAGAACAGCTCTGGCCCTTCCCAGACTGCTGGAGACCCCAAGCATTCTTGGCCTGTGTCTGTCTCTCTCCAGTCTGTGCATCTTGGCCATTTGGGGTTCTGTCTTCACTCTGTATTAAATATCCCCATGCTACTCTCATAAAGACATTTGTCACTAGATGTAGGCTCAACCTTGATTATCTTTGATCCCCCCACCTCTACACCTTCCATTTAACCCCACTGGTGGCAATCCATTTCCTGTTAAGGTAGGAGCCACAGGTCATAGGGTTGGGACTTGCTATCTTTGAGGTTTGTGACTGGGCCTAAGATGGAGGAATCCCCACCACTTGCTTCAAGACATGCTCCAGGGCGTCCTCACCGTAGGGCTATGCGGAAGTAGACACGAAGACACTGAGGGCATTTCCTGTGGGAGGGAAACAAAACAGAAAGAGAGGGTCAAGGAGGCAGATTACAGCATGACTGGGGCATAGCAAGATAATATGTACTGCCTGGTGACCTGGAAGGAAGCCACAAAGGACCAACCGTACCCTGGACAGCTGATGAGCACTGTCCATCCTGCTCCCTGATACACACTTAATTACCTCCTTTGAGAAACTCTGTGTGTGTGTGTGTGTGTGTGTGTGTGTGTGTGTGTGTGTGTCTATGTCTCTCTCTCTGTCTCTCTGTCTCTGTCTCTGTCTCTATCTCTCTCCATTCCTACCAGTACTCTGAATATGCTCCTTCAATTAGTGTGAGATTTTTTACCTGGCTTCCTATTTTGAAAATTCACTCATGGCAAGAAGCATTCTAAAAACTCAGGTCTAAGCAATAACTTAGGAAGCTAAAAGATTTCTACCTTCTTGGAGCTTCCTAGAAAGAAAACTGGACTTACACCTGCTTTCTGCCATGTGGGCTTGGTAAAGTCACAGCTTTCTCTCTCTGGGAGGTTAGCCTCTACTCATCACTTAATCTCTTCCCTGCTGTGGAAAATCATGAAAAATACCTTATTCCTGCTTCTATACTTTGAGCCTTCAGATAGCAAGGAAAAATGGCTCAGGGAAAGTGATAGCTATTTGCTGAGTTCTGTGTATTGTCTAGCACTCTGCAAAATTCCCATAAATCATGGAAATCATGAAGAAATTGGATGCTTAGAGAGGTGAGCTGATTGTACCAAAGCTGTGCAGATGTCAGGACTCACACCCAGCCTGAATCCCAAATCCATGCTCCTTTCTGTACATCCACACTGCCATCCTCATCTCCAGCACTAAGTACAGAATCTAGAACATGGGAGACCCTGGAGGAAGCAGTTGATGCACAAGAAGAAACTTAAATAGGAAATAAAAGAAAGGCTTGTTTACATGAAGCCTATGTTTAGATCCCAGAAAGACCTGAGGTGATCCTCAGTAAGCAAGTGGGGGCAGTACACAGGGTGGAGTCCCTCGCTCAGGAAGGAAGCAGCCCTCACAATGTCCTAGGCAGCTTCCCGGGCAGTACTGCACTCAATCCGAACAAAACTCCTAGAGGCATGAAGTGTAATGAAGCAGATGCTCAGCATCAGTAACAGAGATATGATTTAAGAGGTTCAGTGATTTAAGAGAACCAGTAGGACCAGGATTCAAGCCAGGTCAGAACACTTCTCATACACTGTTCTTCCTGTCATGCAGCACTGATGCCCTCTCCTTGGGCAATTTCCTGGCCTCTCATCCCTTACCAGTTTCCTGCTGAATGGCTCTGAGGCCAGCACCCACCCAGCAGCTCCCAGAATACACACACACGCGCACACACTTGCTCACACACACACACACACACACACACACACACACACACACACACCCCACACACTCACAGCATGCAGGCTTCCCTTTCTTCTCTGTTTACAGTCCCTAGGGGTTAAAACACAGGAATCGGGCCTGAAAATGGGTATGGAATACACAAAGGGCACAGAAGTCAGATTGAACGACATTGTCATTACAGCTTCTCAGGATGTCCTGAAGGTTTTTTCCTCCAATGGTTTCTACAAACAAACTGTATATGTGTAAATATTTTGGGGTGTGACTAAAGACATAACATAAGAGAAGCCATAGATCACTCAACAGAGGCATGCTAGATACTCTTTGAAATGCTCAAATGTCTGACCTGAGTGGGTACCTGGCTCCTCCTTCCACTTGCTATGAGACAAGAGGCCAATTACACCCCCACATGGAAAGGGGAATGCAGGGGGCTTCAAGGATAAAGGTGGTCATCAGAAACATGGCTGACACAGACCCAAGCAGACATCATGATTCCACTTACTCAGCTGACCAGAACTTTATATTAAAGTGGATACATGTGCATCTCTATCCTGTGAGCATAAAGTAACTCTGTACCAGTTCAGCATCTCTAGTTAAGTCATTTTACTAGTTTTAAAAGCTCCTACACATTCTATAGGAATATTTTATAGGAACAGAATAATTTTATTATTAAACAATCTATTCCCAATATACAATATCTGATATTCATCCTGAATTGTGGCCTGGTGGGCACAAACAGTGCCTTGGGCTGTGTGCAAATAAGAATATAAGCAATTACAACTTTTACCCATGGGTATGTGAAAGAGATCTTAGAAGAATCTTTTTGAGTGTAATTTCTAATTCAAAACCCATTTTCCTCAATTGTAGAACACATAAGGATGGCATGGCTTTTATCTAACCCCACAAAATCAAACTTACAATTTTACGTGCTGGATTTATGATTCTTAAATTAATGTGTACTCTACCAAATATATGATGGATCTATGTTTTGCCTGTTCAGCCTTTTTGGGAGTATCCACCAGATTTTCTCTGGGGATTCCCCTCCTCCAGTCTCAGTCTATGTCATTCAGGAAACTGAGCCCCTCTCTTGGTTCCAAGGTTAGAACTATGACCCAGATCTAAAGAGTGACCACCGTAACTACTGTAAATATTTTGGAAATGAGCACATATTAGGCAGCCCCAGGACTCTGACTGGGCTCTTGGAGGAGCAGAATTTGCCTTCCCGCCAGAGATCACCAGATGGGTAAGATGCATCTGGGGATGCCACTGGCCGGTGTATTGCCACAAGAACTTGCTTGAGAGTGAAGGCAGTTTAGAGGAAAGCAGCCAAGACAGGGAAGAGGCAGGTTCTTAAACAGCTCAATAATCATGGCTATTACATCAGCTAATAAATTCCCCCTTTGTTTTTTAAGCTAGTTTCATTGGGCTTTTTTCTCAAAGAGCCATATTTAATAAATGTATCACATAAAATGCACCAACAATTTAAGAAAAATTGATACAAAAAATATAAAATATCATCATTAATTTGTATTGCTCCATAGGATAAGGGTTCAATCATTCACTTTGGAAGAACAACTGGTGTTCGTTGAGCACAGTCAGTATTTATGAGCGCCTTCCTCGCGTTGGGCACTGGGTTGCCTCTGACACAAACATGCCTGTGATTGGCTCACAGGGCAACACACTGAAAAAAGCACCAGCAAATGGGGCAGGTGGGTTTTCCTTCAAAGGCCCATTAAGCTGTCTCTTCTTGAGTCTGGCGTAAAACATGCGAGTGACTCTGCTTGCTTTTATTAAAAAGTGAATGAAAGGTCAGAGGTGAGCTTCCCTTAGGTCTTAATTTCCTGTCGGCATGCGGAGGGCAGGGATGGGAGGCCACAATTTGTTCAACACCAGACGAAGATCCATGGTGGCTAAGAGAGCTGACCCAAGGCACCCAGCAAGCAGGTCTGGAGTCTGAATCTGGGGCTGTGAGAAGAGGTGGCGGGGCGGGTGTAGAAGGGTAAGACTGTCAGAAAAGGATAACGTTTGAAGGAGTGATCTTTTAAAGTCAGGCTTATTATTGAAGGAAATGCAGTGCAAGAGTGAGAAGCAGATGCTCAGATTTAATAAAACCTAAGAGAAGGAGGACAACTTCTGGCTTCGTTCTACTGCACCATGCTCAGCCGTCCTCTGAGGAGTCAAGTCGACTTGGGATGATGAAAGCTGTGATGCTGGTCACTCCTAAGTGATGCCTGGTGAAGGGCAAGCTCTCTGATCTTCATCATGCACATCCTAAAATCAGAGCACCGACCTCCTACTCTTGGTAGGAGAACTCTGTAAGGGTGCATGTGAAATGGCCTGAACAAAGCCTTGTGCATTCACATAACAAATGTAGGCTTCTTAGTTTCTTTCTTTTTCTTTCTTTCTTTCTTTCTTTCTTTCTTTCTCTCTCTCTCTCTCTCTCTCTCTCTCTCTCTCTCTCTCTCTCTCTCTCTCTCTCTTCTTTCTTTCTTTCTTTCCCTTCTCTGCTTCATCTCATTCAGCAAACACACTAGGATGTTCCAGTAGAGCAAGCTGATGCAACAGTACACACCAGTGCTGGCGAACCTTTTAGAGACGAGCGCCCAAACTGTAACGGAAACCTCACTTTTCTGTCACAAAGTGCCAACATGCAGTTAAACCTGAATTCTGAGATTTTAGTTTAGAAAAAAACAACTCACATGCTAATCTCTGAAAAGCAGACAAAATGCATACTGTAGGCTCACCACCACCGGTGTAGACACACGAGTTCAGACCCAGATGTCCGTGTTTCTCACACCTGTCGTTTACAGCCCAAGAGACAGTATAGGTTTCTTTCTTTTTTCCCTCCTCTTTCCTTCTTTCTCCCTTTTGTTTTTGGGGTGGCGTGGCTGAGGATTGACTGTAGGGTTTTGCACATACTAGACAAGCATGCTACCACTAAGCCACACTCCCAGCCCTAAATTACAAGTTTTCTTTTTACTTATTTTATTAAAAATATTGATAAGCAAATAAGAGAATGCTAATAATTTCTACTCTTTATATCATTGTCTTCAAAGTAGTTACTAAATACAAGACCTAAAGCAAAAAAGATTCTTACAAAAAAATAGATAATAACACAAACTTTCTCTTTAATGAACTAAGGTAACTTGTTCATATAAGTGAAACAAATTAGCATATACATTGAAATATTTTTAAAACAATGAATATGTAATTTGTGGAAGTAGTTGAACTTTTCCCTACATCCTATCTATTGTTCTTCTATTTTGTTTTCCCTATCATCTATCTATTATCTATCTTTCTATCTTTATATCATCTCATAGAAGAGAAATAATGAAATACTTTAGCTTGTGTGTCTGGCGTTTCACTGACCATTATATTCTTAAGTTGTACCCATTTATCTATGAATGTCTTGTTTACTTTTTTCATGACAAGATATACTACTCTGTTGTGTATAAGTACCAGATTTTCCGTATCCATTCATCTGTTGTTGAATGGTATTTCCAAGAACTAGGAATTATAAATTGTGCTGCTATAAACATGGGTATAAATTTACCACTGCACATAATGATTTTAAAACTTTTTGGGAGATACCTAGAAGGGATATAATGGGTCAAATGAAATTTCAACTTTTAGT